CACTGGGGGGACACTGGGGGGATTGGGGACATTGGGGACATGGGGACACTGGGGACACCGAGGGGACACTGGGGACATTGGGGGGATTGGGGACCCTGAGGGACATTGGGGACATTGAGGGGACGTTGAGGGGACGTGGGAGGGCGCTGAGGGGACATTGGGGACATCGGGGGGACATTGGGGGGCATGAGGACCCTGAGGTGACCCTCGGTGACCCCGAGGTGACCCCGAGGTGACCCGAGGTGACAGCAGTGCCATCCCTGCCCAGGTGTCGTCGGCGCCTTCACCTTCCCCGTGCTGCAGCGGCGCCACCAGGTACGGGTGGGACATTGGGGACAATGAGGGGACACTGGGGACACCTGGGGGGGTGGTGACACTTCTGGGTGTCCCCAGTGTCCCCCCGAATGTCCCCATTGTCCCCAATATCCCCCCACTGTCCCCAGTGTCCCCAATTGTCCCCAATCCCCTCGATGTCCCCAATGTCCCCAATGTCCCCAATGTCCCCAATTGTCCCCAACTGTCCCCAGGCGCAGATCCAGCAGTGCCTGAGCCTGGCCAGGAGCCACCTGAGCCACCTGCGAGCCAGGTCAGTGTCCCCAAAGCGTCCCCAAAGTGTCCCCAATGACTCCTCCCTGTCCCCAAACCCCCAGGGATGTCCCCAATGTCCCCAAAGTGTCCCCAGTGTTCCCTCAGGGACGTCCCCAACCCCCCCAGGATGTTCCCAGTGATGTCCCCAACCCCTCAGGGATGTCCCCAATGTCCCCAAACCCCCCCTGGGGATGTCCCCAGTGTCCCCAAGGTCCCCAGCACGTCCCCAGGGATGTCCCCAAGCCCCCTGGGATGTCCCCAGGGTCCCCAAGATGTCCCCAGAGTGTCCCCAAGCCCTCCCAGGATGTCCCCTCGGGGGTGTCCCCAGTGTCCCCAATCCCCCCAATGTCCCCAAAGTGTCCCCAAAGTGTCCCCAGTGTCCCCAATGTCCCAAATCCCCCCAATGTCCCCAATGTCCCCAATGTCCCCAAAGTGTCCCCAAAGTGTCCCCCATGTCCCCCCGCTGTCCCCGCAGGGTCCTGGCCGCGCTGCCAAGTGCCAAAGCCACCCCGCAGTGACAGCGCTGTCCCCTCCCCTCCCCCCCCGAGGTGACACCGGGGGAGGGGGCGTGGCCTGGAGGGGGGGGAGGGGACACCGCGCCCCTCCCCCCGCGGCCTCCCCTTTGTCCCCTCCCCCCCCCAGCGCGGGGAGCGGGGCCGCGGTTTAATAAAGACACTTGTGACACAAAGCCGTCCCCGAATGTCCTTCAGTGTCCCCGGATCCCCCCCAAAATGTCCCAAAATGCCCCAAAATGTCCCCAAATCCCGGCCCCGCCCCGCGCAAAGCGCGGGAACGCGGCGCCGCAAGCCACGCCCCCTCCGCTGTGGCCACGCCCACCCCGCGTTCCCATTGGCTCGTGCCCGGCCGAGGCCACGCCCCCGCCGTTGCCATGGCCACGGGCGTTGCCGCGCGACGTAAACACGGGACGCCGGACGTGGTGACGTCAGCGGCGGGGAACGCCGTAACCGGGGAGACCCGCGCGGTGTTTACCGGGACCGGGGGGGACCCCGGGGACACCGGGACCCCCAGAGGGGCCCCGGGACACCCAGAGACCGAGAGGGACCCCCGGGACCCCCGGGAACGGGGCTGGGACCCCCGGAGACCCGCGCGGTGTTTACCGGGACCGGGAGGGACCCCGGGACCCCCAGAGACTGACCGGGACCCCCGGGACCCCCGGGACAGCGAGAGGGACCCCCGGGAACCGACCAGGACTCCCGGGACCCCCGAGAGTCCGACCGGGACCCCCGGAACGGGACAGGGGTCCCCAGGACCCCCGAGAGACCGAGAGGGACCCCCGGGACCCTAAAAACGGGACTGGGACCCCCGGACACCGACCGGGACCCCCGGGATCGGGACTGGGACCCCCGGAGACCGAGAGGGAGCCCCGAGGGACCCCCAGGACCCCCGAGAGCCGAGCGGGACCCCGGGAATGAGGCTGGGACCCCCAAGAACCCACCGGGACCCCCGATAGCCCGAACGGGACCCCCGGGAACCGAGCGGGACCCCGGGACCCCCAAGAACCCACCGGGACCCCCGGGAGACCGAGAGGGACCCCCGGGAACGGAACAGGGACCCCCGGGACCCCCAAGAACCCAAACGGGACCCCCGGAACGGGACAGGGACCCCCGGAACTGGGCTGGGACCCCCGAGAGCCCGAGCGGGACCCCGAGAGCTGATCGGGACCCCTGAGACCCCCGGAATGAGACAGGGACCCCCGGGACCCCCGTAACGGGAATGGGACCCCCGGGACCCCCGAGAACCGACCGAGAGCTCGGGAACGGCTCTGAGACCCCCGAGAACTGACCGGGACCCCCGAGACCCCCGGGACGGGACAGGGACCCCCGGGACCCCCGAGAACCGACCGAGAGCTCGGGAACGGCTCTGAGACCCCCGAGAACTGACCGGGACCCCCGAGACCCCCGGGACGGGACAGGGACCCCCGGGACCCCCGAGAACCGACCGAGAGCTCGGGAACGGCTCTGAGACCCCCGAGAACTGACCGGGACCCCCGAGACCCCCGGGACGGGACAGGGACCCCCGGGACCCCCGAGAACCGACCGAGAGCTCGGGAACGGCTCTGAGACCCCCGAGAGCTGACCGGGACCCCCGGGAACGGGATAAGGACCCCTGGGACCCCCGGGAACCAACCGGGACCCCCGGGACACCGGGAACGGGGCTGGGACCCCCGGAACGGGACCCCCGGGAGCTGCCGGGCCCGGGCCCACCGGAGGGGGCGGCACCGGACGCACGGACGGACAGACAGACAGACAGACGGACGGGTGACCCCGGGGGCGTGACTGACCGGGACCCCCGAGACCCCCGGGACGGGACAGGGACCCCCGGGACCCCCGAGAGCCGAGCGGGACCCCCGGGATACCGGGAACGGGGCTGGGACCCCCGGAACGGGACCCCCGGGAGCTGCCGGGCCCGGGCCCACCGGAGGGGGCGGCACCGGACGCACGGACGGACAGACGGACGGACGGACGGACGGACGGGTGACCCCGGGGGCGTGGGAACCGCCCCCCCCCCCCCCCCCCGCCCCGCTCCTGACCCGGGGGAGGTGACAGGGATGTCCCCAGGGGTGTCATTGCTCTAACCCGTGTCCCCCCGTTTCCCCAGCCGTGTCCCCATCGCTGTCGCCTCTCTAACCCGTGTCCCCTCGTGTCCCCAGCCGTGTCCCCAGGAGTGCAGCACCCTGGGGGACACTGCTGTGTCCCGACCCGGGGGAGGTGACAGGGATGTCCCCAGCCGTGTCCCCTCTCTAACCCGTGTCCCCCCATGTCCCCTGTGTGTCCCC